GCCATTATGGCTCTTAAATGTGATCGAAGATGATTGCTATTTTTTGGGTGTACATATAAAGGCTATCAACTCGATGTAAGATTAAGTTCACTCTTAGCTTGGACTGTTTGCAAATTATTTTTCTCGAAAATCACGTAGTCTTTCCCTCAAAAGTCACATGAATGTGCTCTAAAGTTAACTGATTTGTGGAATACAAGTTTATTGTTTGATTTGAATTATAAATTCGAGTTAATAGGAGCTTCGCTTTTAGCCCTGGCTAAATCTATATATTAGGTTATGGTGTTTATCAACAATGTGAATAGCATGTGAATTTTGAATTTTGTTGAACTTTGTATACACAACAAAGTACCCTATTATCGCTGGTAATTATTTTGTAAGTCCAGACCTGGCTGCTCTGATTTTCTATTTAAATCAACTACGGAGATGCTTACAAGTATAGAAATATAAAAATACTTTGTGCTTTTGATCTTCCTTTAACGCAGAGACTTTGAACTTTTCGTGGGACTTTACACAGTGACGACGGGAAGCTTAGACGACGGCGTTCGCTTTGAAATACGTCACGAGCATTCGCAATCGTGAAGGTATTCATGAGTAAAAGCCGTCGTACTCCAGTCCACGGCTTCAGTTGGCCTGTTTTGAAGTCGACTTGGCGACGTGAGTTGTATTGCTTAGAAAACAGTTTTCTTCGCTACATTTACCGCTCCATCAACATTTGACTTCAGGTCATTCACTATAGTTTCCAACCTGGTGTGTTTAACGCAGACTTGCAACTTCAAGTTGACCAACTTTTCTTGACAAATCGAAGCAAGCTTGAGGGAGATGTAAATTGATGATCAATCTCGAGATCGTCAAGTTTTTTAAATAAAATTATCGAGCGGTTTTAAAAAAACCGTGAAATTTCCAGTCGTGGACCAAGTCACATACAAAAATGATAACGAAAGCAGCCGAACGTAGGGTGAAGCAATCCCCCCTCTTCCGCTTTAGATATTACCTAGATATTACCTAATTTTGTCGATAGCGTGTTTATTCACTGTTTTTATGACCTTTAAAACTTTGTTTCAAAATATTTCCAAAACGTTCTTATAGAATTTGTTCAAGCTTTGCAATTATTGAGGCAACTAAGCAAGGTACAAGCTCCCTTAAGTCTCGTGGTACCGAGAAATACAAGGGCAAGTAAAAAATGTAATGGCGCTATTATGTTGCCATGGCAACTCTGATGTCAATAAAAAATGGATCATAACACATTTTCATCTCGAGACAGTCCAGCTGTGGCAGCCTTTTACCGATATCTTTGCAAATGACAACGTAGTAAACGCTCAAAGTGGGAAGGTATACTCCCTACAAAATCCAGTCCAAGCACCTTATTAAGAGGTTTTAAAAGGAGACTGTGATGTGTTAAAGAGGTATTAAGACTATGTTTTGAACGCGATTCTCACAAATCATGTAATAATTTAAGGCCTCAAATGAAAATTTTAAGGAATTTGGTTATTTCCATTTATATCCGAAATAAAAGGATATTTCATTGAAAAAAACCAAACAGTGGTTTTAGTTATCCCTTGCCTGTTTTTCATGAAAATATAAAAGAAATCGAATTGTCCATCGTTGCCACGATATGCTCGATGTTAACGAACAAGCGCTTTTAACGCTAAACTTTTTTGTCCCAAACGCGTTAGCACACTAGATGTCGGTGGCTTATCAAGAACGGCGCATGTTTTAGTAAATACGATAAAAGTTCGATTACATATTTCAGCCAACAGTCAGAAAGTGTAGTCACGCTATTTAGAAGCATAAAAACAGAGTACAAACGTCAACGAGGCTGGCATGTAAGAAACCGTTCCACTCTTTTATGGGCAGATATTAAACTATGGCTATACCTGTAAACTCTTACGCCAGCACGAAAACCTTGGGATAGGGCTCCTGTTCACATACAAAAACAGTGGTTTCAGCGCCGTTTCTGCCCCGCGTCGATCTTGTGGTGGCTCGTCACATACCGGATACTGGGTTTTCTGTGACAGGTGTATATACTCTATCCGGGTAGCTTTTTATATAGTAATTAAAAGCTACCCATCGTAGATGTTGCCCTAGGGTTGATTTCCACTCTCGCGTAATGTTTACATGCGTACGTGTGTAAAATTTACTTTCACCAATAAAATAGAGGCAATGCATGAAAGATTGCTCGTAAGCTAAAAAGTTGAACCTCGCTCAACTTCACGTTTAAGCTCAACACTTTACATCTTGCGTCTTTTTTACTTACGTGATTATAATTGTATACATCCATCCATACATACATCCTTTATTATCTTTCCTAAAACAAGGCTTTCAAAGATAATTACAAAAAGTATGATTACAAACAAAATGGAGTACAGTAAATATATAGAGTGGATTGGTGAAATTATCTAAGAGTTAAAAATTAATCACTATATACGCATGTACATAAAATACAAGACACATCGTTTACAAAGTCCTATGCCGAGAAAAGTGGCCTACTTTTGAGTTTTCGTTTGAAGCTTAAAACATCTTTACTTATTTTTAATTCATTGTCCAATGAGTTCCATATATTCACTGTTCTGTTAATAGAAGCCTTTCTGGCCACTCGCCTATTTAAATAAGGGGTTCCGAGTTTCTAGTTTCTCGCCCACTGATGTTAAATCGTTTAGTAAAGTTAGACGTAAGATAATCCGGTGTTGAGAACGCTACACATTTAAATGCCAGGGTATAAAGGAGTAATATGGTCATACAATCTCGTCAAAATTATGCATGCCGTATGATCAATGGGGCCAAAAGTAACTTACGCTAATTTCTGTTAGAAGTATTTGCCCACACGTCAGAACAATATAATAGTTTACTCAGAAATACTAATGTATAGATAATTTTAATTTAAATTTCCTTATTAAATGCATAATTAACACGACTGCGTTCAGCTAATCGAGAAAAGCATTATATAACTTTCTTAGTAATTAGTCCATCCGCCAGGGGGTTTGTATGGCTCACTTAAGTGGAACAAACAAAACTTGTATAATCTTAATCTTTGACTAAAAACCACAAAAAAAAATGCATGATAGCAACTATAGAACGGTAGCTTTCACTTTGTAAATTGAATATTAAATTCCCCCTCATACCCTTCTTTTGGTCGCCATCCTGGACTTATTAGTCCAGGGCCATGTGTCCGACAAATCGTTCTCGTGGGCATTTTACGAACATTGAAGTTTCTTTGCAGAAACTTACAGTTTAAATGGTGCTGAATCGAAAAAAAGTTGTCTGCAATTTTTTCAGAGCCATTTAGGCCTGTTTTATGCAAATTAGATATGACGTCATTATATAGCTGATGAATGACAACAAAATGCCTTCAGTTTGATTCGCCACTTTTTGAATCAAATATAATAAATGCATTTACAACTGCAGTTTACATCACATTTTGACTGTTTCAAGGAATGAAAGAATGGACCAAATATTTAAAGCAAGATACACGGGTCTTCATTTCAGAAACATCTTTTCTTTTCTCCAGTTATTTACTACATCTTTTAATGAATCCCCTTTGAATTTACGAGTCCAATCCTCCAGCTTTTAAAAGTTCTCTTTCTGTTCTCTGCCGATTTTTAAACACCAGAAAATATATGGTATAATCCTGTCTGAGTCCAGCTACAAAAGGCATGCGTTTTGATGGTCTCCCCGTGGTTTAAAACTCAATACCTTATTTGTTTTCAGGTTATTCTTCCTCTCTTATTTGATTTTAGTGTGCGAAGGCATATTTACCTGACGACTACTACTGTGTATTCGATTTATCTGGAAAAAACCGCAAGATTATGGAGTTTTATTTATTTATTATTATCAGTTTGCCGCATTAAAGCAATACATTCCCTAATAAAATTGAATGGGTGTATACTTTGTTTAGGAAGGTCCCATACTTAGACGACTTGGTTTTCTGAATCGGCGAGATGCACATGATCATGCACGATGACTTCTTAACGCACTCTTGGGGCATCAATCGAGGGCAGTTGCTTTTACGAAGAATGGATAGCGGCGGGGATATGGCTCAAATACAATGCGATAGATTCTTGAAGGGGAAAGTATGAAGCGTACTCAGTCCTCACAGCATAACAGACTCTGCTCTAAGTGATTTGCATGTGGAGGCGTTTTTAAAGAGCGAAGCCGATTACACAAATGTAATACTAGCATCCTTTGCGATGAACATCATCTGCCAGGAAGGTCGATAAAGTGAGCAAGGGACGAAACACAGCTCAAAGACTTTTTAATCGCAATGGAAACCGACTGGCTTCAAGAGAGGCTTTTGCGATTTGATAAGGTCATGGAGTCTCCGTGTTACTACTAATTCAAGTTTCACAAGACTACGTGAAGTTTGTGATGTGTATCCTGCTGTTCATACGCACATCAAGAGGGGGAGACTGGAATCTTCACCTTGAGTCCCTCAAGGCGTTGGCACGGTATTTCTTTGCTCAAGGCAGGCTGAGTTTTGCACGAATGGTGCCACTATACATATCGAGCGCAGATGCACAGGTTTAAGATCGAGATCCCGATATTTGCCTTGAATTCATGCAAGAAAACGTTTGTATGACCGAGAAGGAGCGCTCATGCTGTGCACTTGGTCCGGGAAATGCTATAGAACACGACAACAAGTTGTTGAAGGTTCGGGGAGGACACAGTAACCAGCAACCATGGCAAGATGTTTCCTTGTGGCACCAGAACTGAGTCGACTTGCGGGGGATTACAAAAAGCTTCATCATCACACCATCATGATTTAAGCGATGTGCTCACAAAGCGCGATAACGAGAATGTACAGAAGCTTAAAGATGTGCTTAAAATGAGTGACCCTTTCGCGATGGAAAGTCATCTGGTGAACATCATCACAAAAGCAGTTATGCTAGGTTACATCAAGGAGGGAGTGCTAATGCAAAATGACATCGGTCAGCCGTATTTTGACACATTAGTTTGTTCAAGCAAAAATCGTCGAGGCCCCAAGAAAAAGGCACATCTCAAGTCATGGAAGTTTGCTTGGCAAACAAAGAAAAACAAAACAACTAGTGGAATCGCACCCTTAAAGGATGACAGACCTCTCTTCACACGTTTCTTAGTTGTGATTCTCTCAAGGCCTGATCTTCACATGGAGGTTACCATAAGCACTTTTAAGTTAGCTGAGTTCCGAGTACACCCTTCTCCTCTGATGGCAGTTTGCTACACTGCATTGCCAAGAGCAAGCTGATGAACATCCTAGAAGGCCTTCTACCCCATCAGTAGCCACAAACGCCTACAGTACAACCTGGCTCTCCAGACCCTTTCAGTACGCCTTTAGTAATTTTTTATGCCATTGCAGCAGCTCAGTCACTGGGTACGCCATCGTGGGTAAGAAACAAGCGTGACCTAGAAAGCCATTTCATAGAAGTCGTTGATGCTAAGACTAATGTTTCCACCGACGTTCATGTTGTATTTGACCGCTACTAGATCCCCTAC